GTCCTAGACCGCAAGAGCATATTTTACCGACTAGAAGCTTGCTGGAGCGATTTTTACCAAAGATTCGCTCCACCCCTCCCTCACCCTTTCTCCTCCCCTCTTCCTTTAAGTACCATCCAGCAATTTACTTTGTCAGTCTGATGCCTTCCGTTCCTCAAGGCCTAAAAAGTCCAGTTCTTCTTTCTGTCATGTATTGTTTTCAATATTATCTTCTAGCGCTGAAGTAAACAACAATACGTGATTCCATCTTTTGCAGCTACGTGGCAAAAATAAGCGGAACCCGGGCGAGGAAGGCAAGCGCGATGGATTTTTCGATTTTTCAATGAGTATGTGGTAGAGTTTTTTTAGCATAAACGTTTTAGCTCAGGTAAAACAGGACGAAAGTGCTTTGACTAAGCTGTTTCAAAATCCATTCAAAAAGCCCTAGAAAATATGAAACATTTTAGAACTGAGGCTCAATGACGATGAAATACGACTGGTACATGATTTTGAGGAAGATTGTATGGACGATTTGTCGAGGAAGAAAAGCCTGTCACAAGCTGATTCACCGTTGAAAAAAGCAGCAGAGAGGTAAAATCTGGAGGGAATTCAAAAACTGAGTTCACTGCTTATTTAATTCGTGCACGAGTTAATTTAGTGCCGGCTAAGATCCTCCTAAAGACCGGAACGGCTAAACTCTTGCTAAGTAGTTCTGCCAGCGAGAACCGTTGAGCTTACAATCCTTTTTGCATACTAAACGAATGTTAGAATCGCCAGCTTGCAGACTATCAAGCACTGCAGTGTTGGGCAAATGTGCACAGCTGGATGACCAGTCTATGAAATACAACTGACAAACATCGAGAAAGATGAAAGAACTGGTAACACTGCGGAACTGAAAAATGTCGCTTTGTGGTGTTCATATTTTCCGTCGAGAATCGACGTTTATTGCGTCAATATCGCTTTTTATGCGTTTTTGCATTTATGTAAATTGCAAAAACGCATATTGGGAAGAGGCTGTCTGTG